ACCTCCATAGCCCCTGCATGCTCCGGCAGGCCCTTCGAATCAAACATCCTGAGGCTGGGATTAGGCCCAGGCCTCCCTGACACTTCTGCAGAGCACTCAGTGCAGAGGGTACATGGATGAGGTCCCAGCCTACTCAGACATACACAATCATGCAGCCAATCACTCCCCACTAACAGTTTAAAAAACACAAAAAAGTTACAATAATAATAGGAATTAAAAGAGTGGGCACATACATCAACAATCACACCATACACACCTCATTCATAAAATGCGGAGAAACTAAAAAATTGCGCAGATCTTAGATGGAACAATGTGAGAAGGGGGAGGGAGAGCCCTGGCCGTTGTGGTTTCCTAAAGAAAGGTTAATGGCACATTGACAGAGCCATCCAGAAAGCAGAGACCCCTTTCTCTTGTGCAGTTCCCTCGCACTTTTTCCAGCTAGCTCTTTGACATGTTTTGGGGAATATGGAAATGGAAATTGGGAGCAGGGCCCAGCTTGCTTTCTGCTCAGCTGCAGACTGCTTTGGCCTCTCTGGCAAGAGCATTTTCCTGAGTGGGTAGAGCAGGAAAGGGAAGTGAGCAGCTGGGAAGGAATTGCCCCTCAGTTGGGGGCTGCAGAGCCCCCTCCTACTCCTCTCCCCAGTAGAGGAAAGTAAGGCCAGCAGTGAACAAAACACTTGGAGCTAATTCAGTTTGGCGGCCGCGAAGTAGGTTGTGCTCGGTTTATCCTGGAGAATCTAAGAACGAAAGTGAAGGTCTGTGTCTCCTTCCCAGAGGTTCTGCTTGGCTGCCCAGGCTTCATTCCTTCCAGTTGTGGCTTATGGTTGCCTGGTTCTTGTGGTCCTTTTAGGGAATGTTCCTGGCTGCCACAGAAACACTTCCTTGTCGCCAACACAAAGCCCAGATGTCAAGGTTCCAAGTAAGACCCCCAATGAAAGAAGACTCTGAGTCTTGAAGTTCCTCAAAGTTCCATTTTATTAGAGATGTCCTATTGGCACATCTGGGGAAACCCAAATCTGAAAGTGTCCAGGTTTTCCCCATCCAAAAGAAAGTCCAAGCCTCTGCCCAGCACCCACATGTCCATCCCATGGCTCAATCAGGCACCGTTCCAACTGGAGATGCCTTCCAGTCACGCCACTCCAGGTACAGGGCAGAATGGCCTTGACTCTCTGAGAAAGGAATGTTATTTAGACTATATATCTCCCATACTCCATATAATCCCCCCTCCCATTTTCCCACAGCATTAATTGTGGCAGGCCGGAAGGCCCAATGCAAAAGATGCTCCCAGGCCTGACACCAGGAAGAGATTGTGAACCAAAATCCTATCAGTGATGGGAGCGGGGTGGGGGGTGGGGGATGAATTAGAAAAAAAATGGTATCACTTTGAAGAGCTCAATAGTATCCATAGCCTCTAAGCTCAGTAAATCATTGCGTATTCCTGTAAATAATCACTTTAGCAAGTGGGGGGGAGGGTGCTTCAGTAGGGCAGGAGACCTAATCTTCAGTCACAGATGTGCCAACTCTTGGGCTCTGAAGAGCTGAGCAGCTGGCCCAGAAATCCCTCTTGAACCCCGAGGATCAGTTCTTGGTCGTCCTCATCTCTCCTAAACTCTCCTCTGGCTTTTCTGGGATTCCTTAGTAACAAAAATAGCCATAGAATGATGATCAGTAAGAATGCAATTAAAACAGATCCCTGTGATTTGGTAAAAATCTTAAGACAAGAACCAAAAATTGTAACATAACTTTTCGGTCTAACTTGTTTCCTCCCTCTCTAATGTCTTGAGACTGTTACTCGCAGTAGGACTGTAAATTGCACCAAATCATTTCGTAAATCTGAGCTTCACTAGGCCAGCCCAATAGGAAGGCATCGAACAGTCGCTTTCCCTGTTTAATGCTTCTGCAGACACAAATTAATAAAGTTGAAAGGGACCTTGTAGGTCATCTAGTCTAACCCCTCGCCCAAGCAGGAGAACATAGACCATTTCTGACAGATAGCAGCCCCATCTCTTCTTGAAAGCTCACAACCTCCGAAGGTAACTTCTGTTCCATGGATTGATTGCTCTCACTGTCAGGAAATTTCTCCTTATTTCCAGGCTGAATCTCTCCTTGTTCAGTTTCCATCCATTATTCCTTATCTGGCTTTGGAGAATAGCTTGACCCCCTCCTCTCTGTGGCAGTCCCTCAAATATTGGAAGATGCTATCATGTCTCCCCTGGTCCTTCTCTCCCCTAGACTAGATAGGTAGAGGTGGCTGGCCTTCATTGCACAGGCCTTGTGCCAGGTAAAGCCCCAGACGTCACCTGGCAGTTTCTGGAAGAAGTTCAAAGGCCCCAGGAACAAAATTGTGCGGTTTCAATACAGGTAATCCTCAACTTACGACCACCATTGAATCACTACAGTGATTAAGTTAGTAACATAGCTGTGAAGCTCATCTGGCTTCCCCATTGACTTTGCTTGATCCCATAACCCTGGGATACGGCAACGGTCGTAAATGAGAGTCTGTTGCCAAGTCTCTGAATTTTGATCATGTGAACATGGGGATGCTGCAACAGTCGTAAGTGTGAAAAGGGGTCATAAGTCACTTTCTTCAGTGCCGTTGTAACTTTGAATCACCACTAAGTGAACTGTTGTAAGTCGAGTACTACCTGTACATTTCTAGCAATGGATGCAGTTCTTAATATGAAAGTGGAACTCCCGTCATCCTCTGGTGTTGAATTTTAAGCTTTTCCGCATTTCATTCCCCTGCAAGAGTTTCAAACGGAAAGGCTGGGGGTTCAGATCAGAGGCTGTAACTTCACACACGCAAAGGGCATAATTTCAAGTGGAGTTCTAAAACCTAAATGAAACCAAAGTCCTGAATGAAACGAAGCTTCCGGTAAGACTGAGGCTAATGGCATCTGTCTGCAAGAAGAGACGCAACGGTCATAGGAAAAGGAACCTTTTCACCTTTTCTAGCCCAGAATGCAGCCCTCGGATAAAAGGAAAAATTTTCAAAATTTGACTTCTTCTCTTTCCAGATATGAAAAGAATTCATTTTTTAAACTTTTTCCCATTTTGCATGTGAGGAAGAATGATGCAATTCGTCTTTCTTTAGCTTCCTGAGTGTTGAGTTGGACACAGGGAGGCTGAATACAAAGGCTCTGGGTTTTTTCTCCACAAAGGTCTGGAGAAAAGGAGCCCAATCCACCAGTTGCAGCTGCTGGAGCAAGGTGGGTCTCTAGGAAGCAGAGGTACCTAGTAGGACCCACAGAGGCTGCCCCCTGGTGGTGAAAACAGGCATTGTGTGATACACACCCCATTTCTTACCACCTTGTGTTCTCTTTCTTCCCAGCACACGTTTTGCAGGAGATGTGCCTTAACCTCTGGTAGGTACTGAAATACTTTTGAACATTGTGTTTGAAGCAGGTAGTCCTCGACTTAAGATCACAATATTTCAGTTGTTAAGTGAGACAGTTGTTAAGTGAGACATTTGTTAAGTGAGTTTTGCCCCATTTTGCGAACTTTCTTGCCGTAGTTCTTAAGTGAATCACTGCAGTTGTTAAGTTAGTCACATGGTTGCTAAGTAAATCTCGCTTCCCCATTGACTTTGCATGTCCAAAGGTCGCAAAAGGGGATCACATGAGCCCAAAGAGACTGCAACCGTCATAAATATGAGTCAGTTGCCAAGCGCCTGAATTTTGATCACATGTTAATGGAGATGATGCATAGATCGTAAGTGTGAAAAACGGTCATGTCACTTTTTTCAACACTGTTGTAACTTTGGACAGTCACTAAATGAACTGTTTTTAAGTCCAGGATGACCTGCATTGTTGGAATGTGCAGGCATTCTTTTTCTTTTGTTTTCTTTTTTGCTTATCTTTTGCTTCTTAGTCAAATTCAAATTTAAAAAAAAGGGCACCCGGGCTTTCCTTGTTGATGGGATTCTTGTACTTTTTATGGCCTCTTGAGAAATTCCACTCTGGATGTTTCCTTTGACCACCAAGATCAGAGTAGGGGACTTTGGTGGATCAGGGCTGTACAACTCTGGCGAGGCAGGCAATTGCCAGGGCAATGATTCAAGGAGATCATCCTCTTTCTAACAATCCCATAATCCCTTGTGGGGTGGAGTCTGGGCAACTGATTGGAGCTGAGTGTTTACTGGCCGGATGCCCTTCCGTCGCCAATGCGGAGTTTTATTCAGCAGACGTATTCTCATTGTGCCCAGAAAAAGAAATATCTGCCTCTGCTTAGGATCAAACTCCCAGCCTCCTCATTGTGAGGCGAGAGCTCCACCTCTAGGCTACCACACCACTTTACAAGTAGATGGGGTTTCGGTTTTCCAAATTTCTTACCTTTTCCCCTTGTTTCAAAGTCTATTTTAATGTCTCCACTGCAACATTTCTGTGTTTCATGTTTGAAACTATGGTTGAAAGGCATTCCGGGGAATTGCAGAAATGTCACCAGAGGGATGCACAACAATGATTGGAGAGCTTGAGGAATGACCTTTCCGAGATAATACACGTGAAGATAATGTGAATTACTTAATTGATGAAATGCATGCCAATTAATTGACGAATTTATAGATTCACACATTTGAGGAAGTTATCTGCATTTAAGTGGAAAACAGCTTTTCTTAGAAATTGGGTTCAGATTTCCCCCCGAAGTGTTTTTAAAGGGGTTCACCCTAGTGGATCCCAGCTCGGGATGGTGTCTGAATTAAATCGTTCACCCAGCATTTCTCCCTGCAGAGAAGTGCCCAGTGGACAATGCCAAACTGACAGTGGTGGTGAACAACATTGCAGTGGCTGAACAAATCGGGGAGCTCTTCATTCACTGCAAGTACGGCTGCCGGTCCAGCGCCAGTGGCAAGCCTTCAGCCTTCGAGGTGGACCCCCATGGGTGCCCCTTCACCATTAAACTGAGTGCCAGGAAGTAAGTGAGCCGTGTGAAGCCTCTTCCCATGATCGCTGGTTTGTTTGGGCATGGTGGCTTCTCCAAATTCAGCAGGGTGATGTTCTCCCTCCCCCTGCTCCCCCTTCCCCCCACCAGTGGTAGAATTCAAATTTTTTTACTAGCGGTTCTGTAGGCATGGCATGGCTTGTTGGGCATGGCTTGGTGAATGTGGCAGGGGATACATCCTGCAAAATCCCCATTCCCTCCCAATCACCTGAGACTCGGGAGGCATGGAATAGATGGGGGTAGGGCCAGTCAGAGGTGGGATTTACTGGTTTGCTGAACTACTTAAACTTTCCGCTACTGGTTCTCCAGAATTGGTCCACCTCCGCCCCCCTCATGTCTTTGACAGAACTATTGAGGATGGGCTGCAGAGAGATTTGGAAAGAGACATGACCTGAGAATAGTGCTGCGGACCAAGGGAAGACTTTTTCCCAATAAATCTTAAACTGGGGGGATGGAAGAGGAAAGGTCAAACTTTTTAGACCTTTGAGTGGTTTTCAAGGATAGAAATAGGAGGAACCTCTGCGCCCTCCTGCCCCCCCCCCCCGGCTTCTTTGTCTTAAAACTATCCTAAATAATTGAACAACTGGCTGAAAAGCACAGCTGAAATGCAACCATTTTGTGACTGCCTTTTGATAGCCAAAGATCAAATTATTGAGGAGGGTCCTAAATGGAGCTTATCTGGGTCTCTGGAGATTCTCAGGTCACAGTTGTCCCAAAGGTGGTTTTTCAAGAGGCAACTGGACTTTCTGGTTTTTCTTTTGAAGACATTTCTCTTCTCATCCAAAATGTTTCTTAGATGAGAAGCGAAACATCTTCAAAGAAAAACTAGAAAGTCCAGTTGCCTCTTGAAAAACCTCCTTTGGGACAACTTATCCATGGGTTGCTGCAGAGGAAGCTGCAGAGGATGAAACAAAATCTGGACTTCTCTGTAGATGTATTTCAGTCCCCTTTGTTGCAGATCCTGGCAAAACTGTGATCAATACTTTAGTGAAATTAATGAAACCTTTTCTGGCTCAGATTCTTCGTTCAGCTAATCCACAGCTCTATTTCCATAGCCAGAGCTCATAAGACTACAAAAGCTGAATGGAAGCCCAGCATCATGGAATAATAGAGTTATTGGGATGGAAGTGGGGGTGGGGGGAAGGATGATGATTCTTCCCATCTCATCAATTTTCATTTCAGTAAAAATGTGGCTTTTGTTTTTCACCCTGCTGACAAAATCATCCATTTTGTGTGAGTGCACTCCCAAGGTGTTTGTAAAAATCTCACCAACTCAAATATTGGTACTGGGTTTTATGGTAACTCTGGGAATGGCCAGCTGCCCTCAAGTTATCTAAAGAGGGAAATGTCCAGAGGGCTTCCCTGATGCCACTGTAGAAAAATATCTGGTTCCTTTGCCAAAGAATAGTAATCCAGTAAGGTGTGTGTGAGAGAGGGAGGGAGGGAAGGAGAGAGAGAGAGAAACTCATCTTCTGACATTCCTCCTTTTATATCTAGGGACCATGAAGGCAGCTGTGACTACCGGCCAGTGCGCTGCCCCAACAATCCCAGTTGCCCTCCGTTGCTCAAGATGAACCTGGAGGCACATCTGAAGGAGTGTGAGCACATCAAGTGCCCTCACTCCAAATATGGGTAAGCAGGGATCCACAACCTCCTAGGAGAGTCTTCCCTTCTTTACCCACCCCAAGGGTTGCTTCCCAGGCCTCGCTCCCGTGATGCTTGGCTCTGGTCCAGGGGTGTCAAACTCACGATGGCACGTCACATAATGTAGGCGTGGCCAGTGCATTACCCATCTGGCCTGCGCGCCGCGAGTTTGACATCCCTGCTCTAGGCTGTTCTGCAATATCTAATCTCTAGAACGCTCCTTCAAATAAGAAGCTGGTTTTGTTTTAATCATAATAAATGTGATGCATATCTGTTAATGCAGTGGTTCCCAATGTGGGGCCCAGGCCCCACAGGGGGCAATTTGCTTTTTAATGGGGACAGTTTGAAACTTGTTTAACCAATTTAATGGCCTTTTAGGCTTCCTCCATATGTTCATTTTTTGGGTAAAGAAAGAATTATATGTCACGGAGGGGTGGTGGGGAGGACCAGGATTTTAGAGATGCATGGCTAAAAAAAGGTTGGGAATCATTGGTTTAATGTCTTCTATCTCTAAACATATGCAGTTAAGCAGCTGCAGTTCAGTGAAAAGACAAGCAGCATCAGGAAAGCAAGGCAGCTCCCAAGAGAGCATGCTCATTCAACAAGTCAAAATAGAGCAAAAGAGGATTTTAACTTGAACATTTGGTGGGGGAAGAGATTCCAACCAGCGTAGTCAGCCAAGGAAGTTCAGGGTGATCCTAATCCTCACCCTGTCTAACGACAACCCAAACTACCCTGATGGAATTGCAGGCTAATTGGAAAAGGGACTTGAGCAAAGAAATACTGCCACGCATCAGAAAAGATAGAAATAGCACTTATGTTCCACTGCATAATGCCTCCCAGCCCTCTCTAAGGAATTTTACAGAGTCAGCCTATTGCCTGCAACAGTCTGAGTCCTCATTTTACTGACCTTGGAAAGATGGAAGGCTGAAGTCATGAGACTGTTAGGCTCAAACTGCTGACAGTCGGCAGAATTCGCCTGCAATACTTAGTTCCAACCACTGTGCCACCATGAAGATGAGAGCTTCTTGGATACAACAAATAAACTTCCTCAGGAAAAAAAAAGAGGAATAGGAATGCCAGAGAACAGGGAGAAGAAAGTGGAAAAATCCAAACACCCTTAGGGTTGACACTGCTTTTTAGCAGGCTCATTCTAGGTGACGCCTGTGGCAGCCTGGCTCAATTTCATGGAAGCAAGCAGGGATCACTCAAGTCATCACAGCTCAATGAAGTCCAAGAAAATCAGATTTAGAAAGAAGAACAAAGTTAATGGAAGGAGGAGGGCGTTGTGCTGTAGATTAAAAAATGCCCGTGCACAAGTTCACAATTGTATCACGGAAATCCCGTTGAGAGATTCTGGGTGGAAATAAAGATAGAGTCAAACTAAAACGATATCATTGTTATTACAAGCTGCCTGGAGAGGCAAAAAAATATGGATGAGGATTTTTGTGTCAGATGATCAAAGCAACAATAGGAATTTTCAACAATTCTGACATCTGCTGGAAATCGTCCTCTGCCAAAAAGTTAATCCCGAACCAATTTGCCGACAGCTTCATTTGTCAGAAAGTGAAAGAACAAGAGATAAAGATTAGGTCTGCTATCCTAGACCAAGTCTTTACTAACAGAGAAGTAGTAACTGTGAGATGGATCTTGGAGTCCTAATGGACAACCATTTAAATATGAGCCAGCAGTGTGCAGCAGCTGCCAAAAAAGCCAACACAGTTCTAGGCTGCATAAACA